CAAACAGGGTCAGGGATCCAGGGGGCCGTCCCAGGCACTACAGTTTAGCTCATACAAATAACAGAGAAAAAAATTTAGAAAAGGATTATTCAAAGACTTCCTCAAGTAGTATCTCATATTTCAACAAAAATAAAATATGACAAAAAAATAAAAAGATTCCTAACCTATCATTTAATAGTAGCCACAGACAGCTCTCCTGATTTGCAGATCTGTAGCTTGAAGTCTTAAAACAATTACTGGGCTTCTTGCATCTTAGGACCGCTTCTCCTCCTTTATTTGTTCCCCATCCCTCTATGAAAACTTGGAGCAGTAGAGGGAGGTAGGTTAGAAAATAAGAGGAAGAAACGGTAATTATATGATAGAACTAGTATATCATGTATTGGGGAGTAAGGGGGAGTGAAGGGGCTGAAAATTGGTTGCAACTGATTTAATAGATAGGCTGAAAATCATCACCTTGAAATGATGCATTATGAGCTGCATAATATGAATTATCTATCATGACAAACGATCCAGAAATATCCCCCTTTTTTAAGGCTACCAGATAATATCCTATAGAAAATTCATTTTTCATTTTCTTTTAAGTTCTCAAAGGCTTTCCAAGATGACCCATTCTGTGCCAGGTGTCCATATCAAAGCTGAGCTCCTTCAATGTTTTCTTTTTATATGAAACATATATTTTTTTCCTCCTTTCCAAAGAAAGCTACAGAAAGCTACCCTTTTGCACTACAAAAGGTTATCTTTTCCTTAAAAAGTGCTTGAAGGTCCACACGCATCTTCCTAAGAGACAGCAAAACGTATATCCTGACACACAAATGATGCTTTTGTCAAGCTCACTGTAACTTCATTGTTATTTTGTTTTGATATGTTACAGCTCAGCCACCTACACATTTTCTCTGTACCGACTGTGTTCCAGCACAAGGCCCCTGGGAGCTAGGCATCGGCAGTTTTAGACTGATACGATAACACAGGTTGGAAGAGGCCTCTAGATGTCCTGAGTCCAACCTCCTGCTCAAACTCAAGTCACCTGTGAGATCAGACCAAATTGCTCAGCCTTTATTCAGCTGGGTCTTGAAAACTTGTAAGACAGAGACTGCAGAACTTCTCTGAGCAACCACTTCCACAGCAGTGACTAAATCATGTAGAGGAAGTTCTCCACCCAGTCTGAGCCTTCTTTACTCCAACTTATGATCACTGACTCTTGAGCTCCCACCATACAGCTCAGTAAAGAGCATTGCTCTATCTCCTCCAAGGTACCAGCAGGTTGTTGTTAAAATCCCCCTGGAGCTTCTCCTGCCAAACAAACTCAGCTCTCAGGCTCTCCTCACAGGGCAAGTGCTCCAGCTCCCCTAACCCTCCTGCTGGTCCTCCACTGAACTCACTTCAGTTTAATCAATTTTCCCTGTATTGAGGGTCCCAAAACCGGGCAAGGTACTGTAGATGTGGTCTAATGAGCCCCAGTAGAGAGGGATACATCCCTTCCCTCTATCCACTGGCTGTGCTGTTCATACAGCCTGAGATGCCACTGGCCTTTTCCTGTGGGGGCAGGCAGCTGCTGGCCTACATTCAGCTTGCTGCCCACCAGGACCCTCGGGTCTTTTCAGCAGAGCTGCTTCCCAGCTTGCCAGTCCCCCACCTGCATCACTGCAGGGTGCCCTTCCTTCCCAGGTACAGGGCTCTGCATCTGCCGTGTCAACTCTAGTTGACACAGTGAACAAAATCTTGAATTTAGGATGCACAGCAAGGCTGAGATAGGTGAAAAGACTGGTAGGAAGAAATAAAAACTCAGGTGAAGACCACTGTGTACAAGGTGCTTTTGCTGTATTAGTGAACAAGATATTTTAAAAAGTACAAATACTACTGTATTATACAAGCACTTTGCTGTATGTGCTGCAAATACTGTCAAGTGTAAGGCTAGTAAGATAGGTATTACACAAAAAGGGAGGGGATTATTATTGTCCTGGAGGATTCAATTTTCTTCTGGTTCCTCACGGGCAAATCCTCTTAATGAAAAAAGGTCTTTCAACGGGCACTCAAAACTTTTGACTTAGTATCTTGGGGCTAACTTTACAGCAGCTCTAGATATTTATACTTGCAGTCTAAATCAACAGACATCAACCTACAAATCAAACAGTAAGATCTTTTGTAGCATATCCATTCACAGATCCCAGTTAAGTGATCTATAAAAAAAAAAAAAAAAAAAAAAAAAAAAAAAAGTAATAAGGAAAAGCCAGGTTATTGTTGGTACCTGGGAGACAGCCCTTCATGAGAAAGCATTTCAGGATGCATGCAGATCATTAAAACACTGATAGATTATTTTGAAAAATCATGTCAAAAGAGCCCTGAATTGGGAGCATGAAGGGACACATAACACATCTCCAGAGAATTCTGTGAAAATGTTTCTAGTGAAATGTGCAGGCAGCTAGAGACTGAAGGTAATGAAACAGTAAAAGAGAAAATTAACAAGGTACGGTAAGAGAAGCATGTAACAAATAGTGAGGCCACATATTATTTGGGACTAAGATATCATGTTGCTCACTGAACACAATCTATGCCATTCTACTCCATACACTAAAAGAAACATTGTAAGGGAAAATGCAACATTTAACCAAATATTTACAGGCCAGGCTACAGTTTTACAAGAATCTCTGGCATTTCATGATTTATGAGAGCTTGATCTTGCTACTTCTAACTTTGAAGACGGCTGTTGTTGCATAATAGCAAAACATGCAAGTGATTTTCCTAAAAACCACACACATCATCTGCAGGTTATACTCATCCTATAACAGATGCATATTAATGCAATCACACATAGCGTGCATCATCTGCGTTTGTTTTCCTTATTGTATTAGAAGCATAATCTATGACCAAACAGCAAGCTTTTGAATGAGTCCAGGAAAAAATGAAGTCACATTTTGCTTTGACACTAGCTCCCCCTCCAGACCAGCCTAACATTATAGTAATTATTTTTTACTTAAAATTCTGGTTTAACAAGATTTAAATACCTTAAGTCCAAAATTTCTTCACCTTGATCCCCTTAAATTTCAATGAACAGACTGATCAGATAAAAAATAATTTTGTACATACATTTTATACTGTGCATAAACTCCAAGACTGGAAAAATCAGTCAGTTTAATACAGATAAAGCAGCAATTCTATACAGCTACAGAGAGACAGGAGTGGACTGAAAATTTTTCATGTTAGTCCCATGAACAGTCTGTAATATCCGTAATACATGCAAACTTCCCTGTACAATCAAGCCTCTGTTTGCAGAGTCACAGATGCCAAAACAAAAGGAAGTCACTATGTGGTTTAGTATTACCTTTGCTAATTCACTTTGTATCCCAGCAAGCACTGATAACACTGTTGTGTTTTTTTTGTTCTAATATTAACTAGACCTAATATCTTTTAAGTTGCTCAGCTATTGTGTCTTGTTTTGTTTAGAATTTTGCTGGTTACGGGAGTAAAAGAAAAAGAGAGTTACTACTTGCAGCCTGACCTGCTGTGCTTCTCTGTTGTCAAGCGTCCTGGCAGCAACATCACTGAGCAAGTGAATTTGCATGATTTGACATTCCAGGCTGATTCCTACTTCCCTCATTACTGAGCTGCTTCCTCAAAAATATGAATAATTGATTATACTTTGAACCTGAAAAAAGGTTGTCTCATTATGTTTTGTTGGGAAAATATGCAAACTCTGCAATATGATAGGTTGCCAGTTACAGGTACAGATAGGTACGTACCCTACCTAAGACGTATATAAAACCCTAACAAGTATCAATAAAAATTTGGTAGTAAGCATATTTGTAATAACCGAAGAAATGGATATTACTGGAAATACATCAAAGTACAGTCACTAATTTATAAGTTATAATAACTAGCTCTGCTTAATAATGGAAAGGATTATAACAGAGCTTTCTGTAACACTGCCCAAAGGAGGAACCGCTCAGGCAATGCTGACTTTTTTTTTTCAGCTCAGACTTCTCCAAAGTTTTTGATAATTCACACTGGAGAATGACTTAGAACAAAAATTGACTAATGCTAGAAAAGCCAAGGACCTTTTCATGCTTAAACACTCTTTCTGAAGTATTTACTCCATCAGTTTTCAATCAATGTCTGGATAACAAGACACCAAAACGCTGCATTTTGGGGTAGAGGAAGCATGTGTATGTGTGTGTATACATCGATGTTCACACACACACACACACGCTGTATTTGTCACACAGAAAGTGAAGAATATTCTAAACATTGGTAGTTTTCCACATCCACCCCACATGCGGACGACAGGGCGCCGACCACGCTGTGTTACCGCAGGTTATGCTGCGCACACTGAGGCAGGTGCTGCCCCAAGGAACTCAGCCCTTCAAGCAGCAGCAGCGTCAGCTGATGTCTGTGCCCGGAGGCTGTTTGGTACAACCAGGACCAGGCACGACGCAGCAAACGCCACCGGATAGCAGGGATGAGGCGAGAGGATGCTCAGGGCGATCAGCAACATTCAGCCCTTTCCTTTGGTCCCTGCCTACTTCTGAGAGCAGAGGCTCGCAGCCTTTGGAGAGCACACACGTGTGACAGAGCCGAGCAGGCGTTAAGCACAAACTTGAGGCAAAAAAAAAGAAAAACAACAAAAAACACCTCACCAGCAACAGACCCCGAGGGCACCCGCCGGCTCCTCACCCCGCACTTCCCCGAGCGAGCGGCCCGGGCCGTGAGGCGCGGCCCCGCCGCCCGCAGCCCAGCGGCTCCCCTCAGGCGGGCCCCGGGGATGAAGGGACCCGGAGGCCACCCCCCAACCCCCCGCTCCCCGCTGGGCTCCTCACGGGGCCCGGCCCCGGCCTCCCCGCTCCTCCCGGCGGCCCGGGCCCCTCGCTCAGGTGCGGGAGCCGGGCTCGGGGCTGGGGCCGCCCCCCGCTTTTCCCTCCCCTCACGGCGACCGTTGCTGAGCAGCGGCGGCGGCGCCAGGCCCGGGGGCTCGGCGCCCGCCTCCCCCGACCCCCGCATCCCCTTACCCGAGGGCCGAGGCTGCGGAGAGACGCCGGGGCGAGGAGGAGGAGGAGGAGGAGAGGAGGAGGAGGAGGATGAGGGGCGGGCAGGGGGGTGGGGAAGGGGGGCAGCGGGGCGCGGAGACGGAAGCGCGCAGCCCCAGCCCCGAGCCCCAAGCCCCAGCCCCAGCTCCGCCGCCGGACTGCGAGACGGGGCGCGAGACGCTGACAGCGCGCGCGCGCCCGCGCGAGCCGAGGGCGGGCAGCGCCCGCGCCTGACAGCGGAGGCAGCGGCGGCGCGCGACCGGCGGCTCCAGCGCGCGCGCCCCCGCTAGGGTAAAGGAGAAAGGGAGGGGGGGGGGCAGAGGGAGGGAAGGCGGCCTATGGGAGCGCGCGCCGGCCTCCCGCTGCTGCCCCTAGCGCTCTCGTCATGGAGCGCTGGGAGCGCGCATGCGCCTCGAGGGGAGCATCCAGCCCCCCCCCCCGCGCATCTCCGAGTGCCCCCACCCCAACGGGCGGCGCCCGCGCGGCATCGCCACACGCAGCGCACCCCCCCTCACACACACCCCGGCCCCGCTCTCTCTGTGTGTGTTTGTGTGAGGGGCTGCGGCTCCCGGCCCCGCCGCTGCCGCCCCGCTTCCTGCGGGGGACGTGGCGAGGAAATGAGGCGCTCTCGGAAGGGGAACTGCGGAGAGAGCGAGCGAGCGCCTCACGCCTCACGCCGCGGGCTCCCCCCCCCCAGCACCACCACCAGATGAGGTGGCGGAGGTGGGAAGGCAGCTGGGGCTCGTTTCCGAGCTCCCTGGTTTGTGTAAAAGCCAAGGCTGGCAGGGGTGCATCCTTGAGACTGTATCGCTCCCTTCCTAGCAGCCCTCCCAGCCTCAGAGGAGCCATCCCGCACATCAGCGCTCCACCAAAAATTCATCCACACGTGTCTTCTCCAGCTCATTCCACGTGAACCCTCATTTTTTACCTCCAAAATGAATAAACGCTCCCAAACCTATAAGACCTACAGACCTAGTTTTCCCCTTTTGACTTTGTGAGGCATGGGCCAGTTGCCTGCTCAGGTGGAGCTTGGGTCAGGGTCGCTGCGGGCGTTGTCTGAGGGACAGAAGGAGCAATGACAAAGTTCTCCGCCCGCAGCAACCTTCCAGAGAGGTCTGGAGATGCAAAACTAATGAACGTATCTCTTTTCCCTTAGGTTTTAATTCCTAACTGATGATTCAATTTCTAAACTAATCTCTTGTAACAGTAAGCAGATTGCCAATGGCTCGCAAATATTGAGTTGCTGCTGCTAGTCCATATTACTGTGATAGTTATTATAATAATAACTAACAATTACATTGCAGTAATGCCTGCAGCCAAGGACTTGGATTCCAAAACCCACTGGGTCAGATACAATGGTTTAAACAGTTAAAAGAAAAAAAGGGCTGCTGCTTCAAAACAGCTTACAGAGGTGATGTAGATCCACAAGTAAACTACTGCTGATACATGCATAAGGAAAAGAAGAAAAAACGAACTATCATTAACAAACTTCAACTTTTTAACCCACTACCCCTTCAAAGAAAACAAACAAACAAAACAGTGCAACAACTCAAAAACATTTGAGAAGTCTAAATACACTGCAGAAAGGCCAAAAGTGCATGCAGTGCAGGTAAGGGAAGGAAAGTTGCATCAAGATAATCCAGAAACTAAGGCACAGTTTTCCAAAGGACACATTTAACCACAGACTGCCGTCGCTTGGAGGATCTCACCTGAAGCAAGATTCTGAATGAAAATAAAACTGTCCAGGGAGACATCTGAAAATTGAACAGCTTCTCCTAATAAGTCTTCTCTGTCTAGTGGGAAATTACTATTTTATAGACATAAATAAATCTGGCCCCTAACCCACAAAAGATTAGGGTACATTCCATGTGAGTGCTTCTGAGATACAATGTCCACAAACCGGCAGATAATCAAGGCTGAAATAAATGGGCTATTTCATTAATATGCTTGTGGTGGTTTCAGCAGTACTTACTATGGTGTGAAATTAAATGCATTTCAAATGATTACTTAATGTGATAATGATACTACTGCTGGTTTATCTAGCTTGCAAGCCCCTTACATTCTGTGCTATAGACATGCTATCTTACACCAAAGAACACAATGTAGTACTAGGATTGACTCGGTATCCACCAGAGATACCAGTGGATGAAATGTCATCAACCTGCCCATAACTTGCGCAGTCAGGAGTTATTTTTATTTGTATTCTAGTTCTAACCATGCTTTAGCAGCTACTGCTATAAGCCTCGTTTTTATTTTGAGGTGATGGAATTGGTGACCTCAGCTGTGTTAAGTCATGACATAATGAGAGAAATGAAATGAGGGGTGAGAGATGAAAAGCTAACTGATGGAAATGTTCTTACAAAGTGCTAACTTTTTACAAACGCTAACTGCAGCAGGTATGTACTTTTAGCAGTACATTTCCCAAACAGACCAAAAGGCCAGTAGTTGGATTCTTTTCACCACAAAAAATCATTAAGTGTGGAATCTCACCTGAGACACCAATAGCAGCTCCTTCATCAGGTGGCACAGGGTCAGAGCCTTAGTTTAGGGATACTCTGATACCCTTGATTGTCTTCATAGTAATGGTTCAACATAGAAAGATTTTCTCCTCATTAAGTTAATTGAAGGTGTTGTTGATGGGCACATTCAAAAAATTTGAGCTCTAGTTCTTCAAATTCTCTGAGAATCGTATAGCCCCCAGAGACAACGAATATCCATTTCTGAAGACTCTTTTAAGTGACTTGACTGATGTCAATCAGTGTCATAAGCACAAAAACTTGTCACAGCTTTCCTTATTACACAATCTGTCCTTATTCATATCTACCCTTTACACTGAGCATAATTTTTTAATGGAAATTTTAATGAGAATTAAATGACATTTTTTCCTTAAGAGAATGTCAGTAATGGTTGGATTTGTGATTTTTAAATCTACAGCAAAAGCTACAGGTACTTGAGCTTACAGTATTTCTAGTAATACTGGTAGGGTTTCTATTTCTGCACAGACTTGGTGGAGCTACATGGCTATTGTTCAATTCACCAGATAGTACTGGAACATTTCTAGAGTTGGGATTCCCTAATTATATCCATGTCCTGGCAAAGCTAATGATTCGAATACCAGTGGTTAGATAAGCTAAGTACACACAAGGAGTGCATTCACTCTTTTCAGAAGAAGGTGGTCCAAATAAATGAGGTGGGTCAATTATATGACACAGCAGTGGTGTCTTTCCAGAACTGCCAAAAGCATGCACAACAATACTGTAAACTGAAACTGAAATGGTCTGTAAACTGAACAGAAATATCAATCTGGAAGATGAGACTGAAAAGAAACTTTCTGCAAATCAGATGTCATCCACTAGGCAAGGATATAGTTCAATGGTTAATGAAGCTGTTGATATGTGAAAGTCAATAAGCAGTGGCTGAGCCATCACAAGGAGCCGGAGGAGGGACATCAACAATACAAATTTGATCTGTTACCAAATTCAGGAACAAGTCCAATAAAATCTGCTGTGTGGGGGAGGGTCAAGATTTTTATAAATCATATAATCTACCCAAATCTGGAGAGACATTTATGGTGAGGCTGTCCTCACGCAAAAATAAATGAATAAATAAATAAAACCAAGTGCTTTAGTCCAAGTTCCTGACTGCAAAAGCCTAAGCCAAGAATATGAGTTTGAAATCAAACAAAGATTAAAGTGAAATTTAGGCAAAAGCGAAATCATAAATGACTAACCACATATGTTTCTGAAGTCTAAAAGCACCTGCATTTTCATCACTTATGTTCCCTGAACATCCCCAGAAATGTTACATTCTTTTCTAACTCTCTAACTCATGCCTAATTCACACTGAGTTGTACAGATAAAGGAGGCTGCAGCACATGGACATGTGAAATCTCCAAGTAGCATCAAGACTGGCCCCTTTATGCAACCAGCTCTGTGATCATCTCCACAGTTAATACTCTGATCTCCACATTAAAAAAAAAAAAAAAAAAAAAAGGCTGCCTTGAGCCTTGATGTTAATATTCCTATATTCCTACATTTCCCTAGAGCCTTCTCTCCCCCTGCCAAAAAAAAAATAAAATAAAAATAAAAAATAAAAATAAAAATAAAAAGCCCAGTGGGGAAATTGTAATTAAGAATCAAATTAACAGTTCAGGAAAAGTTTAAGTATCTGAGAAGGGATGTGCTACACTAGAACCTGTGCCACTTTTTCATGCAAATGATTAGGAAACAAATAATGTTAACCAATTCTGCAGTTTTAAGACAGAGGCTTCTAGGTTTTGTTGTCCGGTGCACATTTTCTAGTTCTTAACCTCACAATCTTAATACATTACCTTTAACTGATACAGTCTCACAATCTGTTGGCATCAAGGCAACACCTCCCTTCATTTGGCAACAAAGTGCATTTAGGTAGCAGGTGGAAGCTCAGCAGGGCGACCCTAGTTTCACTTCAGTGAGACATCCCACCACCTGTCTCAGAAGTTACTAAGTAGCATCTTAACACTAAATGTAAAGATGTTTAACTTTGCCCGCCCAAACACACAGAAACAATCTGAAGTCCCCAGTCAACGCTCAGAGGATACAGACTAACTACTTGCTGTGAAATGTTTCTTTCCCTGTGTTAGCTGTCTCCAGCTCTTCACTACCTACAGAGCCTGGTGTGGTAAAGGAGTTCAAGTGGATACCACCAACTCCTATAAAAATACCTAAGCTTTTAAATCCTTATCCCTTTGAGTTGTATGATGGCCTCAAGATCTTTAGAAGCTTTGTTAGCTATCACAGTGCTAGCAGTAAGCTTGAAAGCAAGAATCACCAGTGCTAGAAAGCTTTTTAAAAAATATTTCTGGAATTGATTTGGGAATATTCATTACATGTCAATTCTGTTTTTTTTTGTTTGTTTGTTTGTTTTGTTGTTTGTTTGTTTGTTTCTGTTACCTTTGCCTTTCTGTACACTTTTTATTTATTACAATATACCTTGCAAATACTTCACCCACAAAGATATCCTGTTTTGTATCACTAGGATTTAAGGGAAGATCAAAACACTATCAGCAAGGAGATTACAGAAACAGACTACGTTAAATACATGATTTCTTTAAATTGCCTAAGAATACTGTTGACTGTTTAATGTAAAAACGTATATCTTTTATTATTATTATTATAAAGAATGTTTTATAGGGTCCCTCAAATATCTTTTTCTAGCCCTCACGTTTTCTTGCTTTCTCCACAGACTTAAAATTTGATCTTGTACTTGTTGAAATCTCAGTTTCAGATAAA